ATTTGGCTAACTTGAAGTTCGCCATTCCCATATCATCTCCTTTGTACTAGGACACAATCTAATGCCTTCATCCTAGTAGCTTCATGGCCCCGTCCAACCATGAGGTTTCTAAATTTGACTCGATTACAAGAAGACAAAGCTTATTCCATATTGCTTGTGTAATAATTAAGAATTAAAGCCAACCTTGAAAATTTCTTTGTTTATTCTTTAAAAGATTCAAAAATAAGATTTATCTCACAGTTAGATCTTGTATTTTTCAAATTTTTAATAAGATCCTCTACTTTTTAAGATTTGTTGCTTCGATTCTTTATTATAATACCACCAATCAGTAATTGACATATGACATTGTAAAGAAAAAAATGTCAATCATGTGTCGATCACCGATTGATGACGTTATAATAAAAAATCTTAAGTAACAAATTTTGAAAAATAAAGGGTTTCAATTAAGTTTAGAGAAATTAATTAAAAAAAGTTAAAAAATACAGGGATCAAATAGAAAAAAATCCTTCAAAAATAGTTCATGAATTTTATTAAAATGGAAACGGAAAACGAAACCACACCGAATGTCAAATTAGTAACACCCAACTAGCGGAACTAAATGCTGAATCAGGAAAGGTAAAGTTCGAATTGCAATAAAATAATAAAGCATAGTTGTCGTGAACAAATAAAACTAAAGCGAAAGGTGGATCGGATTCTAGCCATTAATTGCAGGAAGACAAAAGAATCGCATAAGATGGAATTGACTAGGTGATTTAAACATTTGAATTTAATTGGTATGTTTGGATTTATCTTTTATTTATTATTTTCTGGCATTTATACGACGTTCCATCTCCGCCAAGCAAAATCCAAATGGGACCTCACTTTGTTGTTTTCGCCTTTGATTTTTTTATTTCTTCCTTTTTTTTTTAATTTCATTTTTTTTAGTTTTCATGATTAGATATCCTTGGATCGTTTTTTAATTGGGACATTTAAACTCGATATCATTTCTCAATTTCTTCTCTACACATCTCTTTTTAAATCTTTTTAAATTTGAACCTAGAGATTTAACTCAATAATTTTCATGAACAATTCAGAAGACATGTATAGTGTTTTTTTTTTTAAATAAATAAAAAGATTTTATTTTTCATGCAGGCAAAAAAGTGAGAGGTGAAGGTAGGATAAAGTGAGAAATTCAACCAATAAATAATATATATTGGCATAGTGATTGATAAATTATTTCATTTTCATCATAATGATTTAGGATTAAATTGTTAAATTTATTTATTTGGAAAATAGACATAATTAGATGCTAATTTAATTTAAAAAATAATAAATTTAATCTTAATTGATGTAATATATATATATATAGAGGCTCAGCAGAACAACACACGAGGGGCATACAAATTAGAGTTTACTAGTTTGATGTCCGCGCTACACTCGTGGTTAGACAAGTCGTTATATGCGTGAGGTTAACAATTCGTATAGTATAATATGGGTAAAAATCTTTTTTCTCATAATGAATGTAAATTAAATTTATTTACTAAGCAAAATCATTTGATTTGTATATATTTATTTACAAAATAAAGAATAATATTAGCATAAAAAGTTGTATTTGAATAATAGAAAGGTTCATTCAAAACATTATTTCAATTATTTTATTTAAAAAAAATATTCATTTTAGAACATAAAAAGAATAAATAAAATTTTTAGAACATAAAAAGAATAAATAAAATTTTTTTAGTGTTATAAGTGCGGATACATAATTAATTTCTAGCAAAACTAATGATATATATTTCAATTATTTTATTTAAAAAATATTAATTTTAGAACATAAAAAAGAATAAATAACAAATAATTAGTGTTATGTATGCGGACACACAATTAAATTTCAACAAAACCAATGATCATAATATATATATATATATCATACTTAGTATATTCGAGTATATAGTATAAATAATTTTTTTATTAAATAAATTATATGAAATATATTAAAGTCAATAAATTGAAATAAAAACTACTATAAAATTGGTTCCCATAAATTTTACTTCTTAATTTATGAAGAAATAGATTCTTGAATTAAAAATTAAATTATAAATTAGTTCACCTCATTCTGAACAATGAATTAATTAATTCTTTTGGTTTTAAAAATAAATTATTTAATTTTTTTAATCAGCGTTGACTATGAATAATTTATTTTTTATTTAAATTTTTTTTCATATTTTTTTATTCTTTCTTTGTTTCTTAAAAAATAAAAATAAAACCATTGAAATAGTAAAAAGGACAAAAAAAATTAGTTTTTGAATCAAAAGGTTTATTGGTATTATGTATGTGAATACATAATTAATTTTCAACAAAACTAGTTATATATATATATATATATATATATATATATATATATATATATATATAATGATCATACTCAGTAGATTCAAAGTATACAATATAAATAATTTTTTTAAAAAAAAATCATTTAAGTTGTACGGAATATATTAAAGTCAATAAATTGAAATAAAAACTACTACAAAATTAGTTTTCATAAATTTTATTTTTTAATTTATGATGAAAGATATTCTTGGATTGCAAATTAAATTATAAATTATTTCTTCTCGTTTTGAGAAAAGAATGGATTGGTTTCAAAAATATTTTTAATTTTTTAATTAGTGTTGATCACGAATAATTTATTTTTTATTTTAAAAATGTCTTCTTTTTTTTCATATTTTAACTTTTTTTTATTCTTTCTCCATTTCTTGAAACAAAAATAAAAACATTAAAATAGCAAAGAGGATAAAAAAAATAGTTTTTGAACCAAAGGGACTAACGGTGTTATATATATGTGTGTGTCTATATATATATATATATATATATATATGTATGTATGTATGTATGTATGTATTATGTCCTTATCATAGTGTAAACAAACATTTAAAAAAAAACATATAAGTTGTATGAAATATATTAAAGTCAATAAATTGAAATAAAAACACTACAAAATTGATTCTCATAAATTTTACTTCTTAATCTATGATGAAATAGATTCTTGAATTGCAAATTAAATTATAATTTGGTTCATCTTTTTTTGAGAAGTGTTCTTTTAGTTTCAAAAATAAATTTTTAAATTTTTTTAATTAGTATTGACCATGAATAATTTATTTTTTTATTTTATAAAATGTCTTTTTTATATATTTTTACTTTTTTTATTCTTTCTCTCGTTTTTTAAAATAAAAAATAGAAATATTGAAATAGCAAAAAGGACAAAAAAAATTAGTTTTTGAACCAAAGGAACTAATTAATTTGTTTATTGAAGAAAGAGAGACTAATTTATAATCACTATTGAATAGCAAATGACGTTAGTTTCCCTGTCAAAATAAGAAGAAAAAAACATTGAAAGAAGACAAGAGTAATAAATGCTCAATCTGGAAAAAAAGAAGGAAATGGCGAAAAAAAACCCAAAAAGAAAATTGAAAAAAGAATCAATCAAGGGTAAAAATGGAGTTTTGCAAATCCTTTGAGTGGCAAAAGAGAAATTAACAAAAAGGTAGGGTGCAAAAAATCAAGCAACACAATGAATAGTAAATCTAAATCTAAAACAATAGTAAATGAATAGTAAACATCTCAGCTTTTTTAATTTTTTCTATTAATACATATTAAATTAAAAAATAAAAATTTTATTTAATTTTATAATTTTTAATCAAATTTTGTATTTTATTCGTGCTTTTTTATGTTTTTTCATAGATTTTGTTGTTAAAAAAACGAGGTTTGGTTTTTTTATTCATTCGTTTTTAAATAAAAACCTATAATAATATAAATATAAAATTTTTTAAAACATCTTAATTTTTTTATTAGATTACATTAGAGAAATATACCAACAATCAATATAAAAAATTATATAAAAATTAACTAATGAATCTTTTAAAATTTTTTAAAAATATATACATTTGATATATAGACGTGCACACACACACACACAAAAAACAATCAATAATATTAGGAATAAAAACATATATTTAAATTATTAGGTGGTTTTTTAAAATATTATTTTATTTAAAACAAAATTAAATTTATAATATTAAAAATAATCAGTAGGAAATAGTTGGTGTTATATGTGTAGATGCATAATTAATTTCTAATAAAATCAATGATCTCAATATTTTTTTGTATACATCACTACCATACTATGTACAAATTAAAAAAAAAATATATTTTTTTTAAAAAATTTAAGTTGTAGAAAGTATATTAAAGTCAATAAAGTGCAATAAAAATAATTTAAAATTTTATTTTAAAAAAATTGATTATATCAAGAATAAGGTAAAGAAACACGTGAATCTATTATTTATTAGAAAAAAACGTATTAAAAATTCATACATAGAAAAAAATAAATCATATTTATCAACAAATAAAATTCATAAAAAAATTTAATTTGATGAGAATTTTTATATTAAACGATAAATTTAAGAGATCAATTTTCTTCAATAAAAAATATAATCGATATATGCGTTTGTTCTAAAATTTAAAAGCATGAGAGGCCAAAAATATATTTTTTTTAAATATGAGAAACAAAAAATATATTTTGAAAAAATGTGAGACAAAAATGGACTAAGTAAAAACATAAGATGTTAAAATATTTTTAAAAATATAAAAATTTAAAGATACATTTTGAAAATATAAGGGATAAAAAAGGAATGAAGTGTAAAATTTGAAAATAAATGCTAAAAAAACTATCAAAAAATTATAAAAAAGCCATCATAAAAAATCACAAAATTACCACTCTTTAAACAATAATGAATAGTAAACTAAAATAAATAATATTTTAACGTTTATTCGTCTCGTTTCTTTTAACTTTTTAGTTAATTTACGTGTGCTTGCCCCTTGGATAAGCAAGAAGTTTAAATGGCAATTGAAAAATAATAAAGAAAATGACGTAAAGATTTGAAAGAATAAAAATAAATAATAAATAAATAATTCCCCTACCCATTCTAGCCTTTGACATCCAAATGGGTCAGTTTTTTTAATGAGAAGCAATGGTTGGGCCGAGTCAGCCTACTAGCCTTAATTCTAGCCCTGAATTTTGGTATATGGCCCAAACCCAACCAATGATCAGTGTTTTCGTTTTTTGTTCCTTTCTTTTTCATTTTATTATCAATTACGCTTATTGGAGTAAATTATAAATCAATCTCTCTAATTTTAAAAAATAAATAAATTAGTTAATAATTATTTAGTCATTTAACCAGTATTGATCACGTTTAATTTAATATTACTTTATTTTAAAAAATATCATTTTTTCTCATAATCTTTTCCTTTATATCCAATAATTATTTGTTTAAAAATAAAAATAAAAATAAATTATAAAAGAACATAAAAAAAAGAATCAAATAATTATTTTTTGAAATAAAAAAATTAATTGATTCGTTTCTCAAAATTACATGGACTAATTTATAATTTATTCCACTAGTTGTCTATTAGTATTATACTAGTTGGTTATCTATTATGTAGAACAAAATCATTTTAAAATTTATAATTTTTGAATTAAAATCTTATATTTAATTAATTTTTTCTTGTGTTTTTCATAGATTTTCTATTTAAAAAATATGATCCATTCTTCTTAATGCATTGATTCTTAATTAAAAACTTATAATAATTTAAACTGAAATATAAATTTAAAATACTTTAAAAATATATTTTTTATAAGATTGTATTCAAAAAATAAAATTAAAATTAATGTATAGACTTGTATAAAATTAATAAATAAAAAAATAAATTTCTATTCTTATTTAATGTTAAAGAGAAGATTTTATTTAAAAAAAAAGAATATGCATTTAATTTATATTTATTCACAAAATAATCAATAATCTTAGCATAAAAAAATATTTGAATCATTTGACGATTCTTTTAAAAAATATATTTCAATCATTTTATTTTAAAAAATTAATTTTGTAACAATAAAGAAACGATAGCAAATGATTGGTGTTATTTTTGTGCAAATGAATAGTTAATTTTTAATATAAATTAGTTGAGAGTGTGTAATATAAAGCAATATATATTTAAGAGATAAATTATCTAAAACATATTATATATATTCCATTCTTGTCATACTATATGAGAAACAAAATAAATAAATCCTCGATCTTACATTTTTTTTTCCCAAATATCAATTAAAAAATCAATTATTAAAAAAAAAAACTAGTTAGGGAGCATGCTTGGCCTAGATCCGAACAAAACAACCCCCCCCCCCCCAACCTAACACACACACACACAAAAAACACACTCCCACCCCGAGAGAGAGAGAGAGAGAGAGAGAGAGAGAGAGAGAGAGAGAGAGAGAGAGAGAGAGAGAGAGAGAGAGAGAGAGAGAGAGAGAGAGAGAGAGAGAGAGAGAGTGAGTATGGCATGTCCTTCACTCTTTAGGCAATAGACGACGTGTTGTTTTGTCGGTAATTTTTAATGAATAGTAGTTTGCGTAAAACATTGTCGGAAAAACAAGTTTTTTATTTCCAATCTCTTCAAACTTAAGTTTAGCCAATTTTTATCCAAAAACACATCAAAATCACATAAATAAACATAAAAAAAAATCATTTAGAATATCTAAATCTATTTTAATACACATAAAATGCAAAAATATTCAAATCAAAATTAAAAAATTCAAAATATTTTTTGATTCTGATTTAACTCTAATTATTTCATAATTTGTGACTATCAAAAAACAAATTTTACTCTTTAAGATGAATAAATTGATGGTGAGTTCGACAATCAAGGTAGCCAAAATGGATCTCACAATCTGTCTTCTTTTTTATCTCTCTCTCTTTGTTTTTCTCTCCTCTAAGTAGCAAGGGATCAAAATACAACACAAATAAGTTTGAGATTGAAATAAAAGTTTCTAAATAATGAGGGATCAAAATGTAAAATGTTTGACAAATTTGTTTCAAACAATAAAATGCAATTTTTAATAGTGATAATGAGTATTGTGATTTTAACTATATATATATATATATATATATATATATATATATATATTTTGTGTTTTTTCAGTTTATTTATAATAATACTATTGTATGTTTATAAACAAACTTGAAATCCATTAAAAAATAAAAATCATTCGGTACCAGTTTTTGTTTTAAAAAATAAAAATTGTTTTGTAGTTATTATTTTATAAAATCTTTTTTTTTTTTTTAACAGAGATGTATGGACTTATCTAAGAAATGTAATTAAAAATTATAATAAATCATAAAAAAATAATGGTATTACGTGATTTAATTAGCATGAGTAAACGGTGGCAATAACATATATATCAATCAATGGTGGCAATGATGACGAAATTATGAAGATTAATATGATGTTAAAAATGATAATAATAATTATAGCAATACCGAAATTTTTATTATTGTAATTTTATTAGTAACTAATTGTAGGTTTTAGTTGATAGTAATAGCATGATAGAAGTGGTTGCAATAATATGGTAAAAACAAATGTAATTATAATACATTTACAAATGTTAAATGAAATAGAAAAACGAGAATAAGAATGAAAATTAAATATAATTTTATTCACATGAGATATGTCGGAATAAAAATAAAAAATAAGAATAAATGTTTTTCTTCAAAATAATAATATATTATTTTTATTTATTATGTATTAATTATTTCTACTACATCAATACTTTCACTATCATTATACCGCCACGAAGGTGGTGATATAACGATTTTGAAAAACATTATTATTACTGTTATTTTGTCATCATTCTTTCTCTATCACTATCACCATCATTTTTTTTATCTCCTTCTTCTTTTTCTACTACTACAATTATTTTCATTATTTTTATTATCATTATAGTTGATGGAATTATTTTTTTAATCATTATTTTTATTCATTTTAAAATTATTAAATTTTATTCTGATTTTTTTATTACTACTTCAAAAAATAAAAATATTATTTTCATTCTTTAATTTTTATTTTAATTCTTCTATTTTAATACGGGAATTTGTTTCTTAATATCTAATCCACGTCTAAGTGTTAGTTGACTCAGCTATTTGACTCTAAGACCATATGGGCTATGCGTGCAGCTCCGAGCCGCTGACGGCTTGCAGGTTCTGGAGGAGCAAAGTAAAATATAGGAGCCGAAGTGAGGTCTTGTGGAATCTACAGGGATCGGAATATAGTTTACCCTTTATTTCCTTCTCACTCAAACAAGCCGGTTTCTGTTAGTTCCCACTTGAAATCACAAATCTCCAAATCTCACTTGCCGGAGAATTCAGAAAAATCAGCACCTACAAAAGACCATCAATTCTTTTGATATGTCAAAAGCAGCCAACGTTGTCAGTTTTTCTCACACCTTTAAGTACTTATTGGGTCAGTTCTCTTTGTAATGCAATCCTTTTCTTTCTTTTCATAATTATAGATAGATAGCTCTGTTTGTGAAAATATAAAGCGGGTTTCTGCGTTTTTTTCATTAGCTACCCAGTTCTTGTCAAGAGGAATCCCATTTATTTTCAATTCTTGGATCGTCAGGCACCTTACAGCGGAGGACTATGCGGTATTTATTTCTTGTTTTTGAAAATTGCCTCATGGTTTTTTTTTTTTTTTGTTTTTTGTTTTTATGATCTGGAATGAAATTCTCTTGTGTATGCAGTTATATGCAGTGCAATTTCATCTATTTGTGACATGTGTGTTGTTTCTTAGTCGAGAAGGATTCCGGCGGGCCTGCTTGAGGGCTGACATTAAATGGTATTGCTTCTTAAGTTGCATTTGCTTATTTTTTGTAGTATTCTGGTCTAGCGTGAGACAGATACTCAAATTGTGAAGTAGATTGTTGAATTCTGCAATGTTTGCATAATCTCCTACACGGGTTTAGATGAGTGTCAAACCCTTTTATTAGTTGGAATGTAGGCAATTTCTCTTAGGGCAAACCTTGATTCAGAGTCGAACTTCTATCTGATATATTGCAAAACTGTGCTATATATGCTGCAGTGATGATGCGCCAATTGAGGAATATGCAGCAAAGTTATTAAAAATAGCTTGGATGACACTCCCTCTTGGAATAGTTACTACGATTGCAGCATGTGTTTTTGTTTTCTGGTGGCAAGGATTAACTTATTCTGATCCATATGCACAAGCCATCTTGATCAATGGTAAGATGCTGTAATTGCCTTTTAACATTAATGTTGTTGCAACAGGTTTTTCTTTGTTCAAACTGTTTTCTTTTATCATTCTTTGTTGCCAGCAGCAAGCTCAAAATAGTTTTAAACCTCCTGAACGTGTTTTTTTTCTAAACATGATATAGATTGTAAATTGAGACTTTCATTTCAGTACCTTTGGAAGTAGAAATGGGTCAGAGGGAATCTTGGGAACACCTCAAAAGTTGCATAACTTACAGCAAGTTTGAGAAAGCAGCAGTGTTATGAATGAAATTTTAGGAGGGGAATATAAGAATAAAAAAAAATAGATGATTTAGTTGGCCAAATGTAATTCCCTGTACTTCGCTAATGTATTGATAAATCACTAGTTTTCATTAGTTTCACCATCCATGATCCATCGTCAGATCATGATACTTTGCTTTAGCAAATCATATATCATGTCTCTCCTCTCCCCAACCCAAGGGACTCTTTTACGTGCTTCTCCCGTGTGCTTTGTGCATTACATAGTCTCAGTTACTAGCTTACTAGTTCCTTTATAGTAAACTTGTGTCTTTTATTGCAATTGAATATACTTTATCTCATCAGCATTATCCTTTTCCAAATTACATAAACAATGATTATCAGTTCACTTTATGTCGCAGGCTGTGCATGTATCTTGGAGCTTTTGGCTGAACCCTTGTATATTCTCTCTCAGAATTTGCTCTTGCTCAAACTACGGTTGTTTGTTGAAATGGCAGCTACACTTTTGCGTTGTCTGACAATGTACATCCTGATTGTCAAGCAAACCAGCATGGTAAAAAGCTTATTTGGACTATGTTATCGATCTTGAAAGTTATAAGTGGTCAATCTGACTAATGGCATGTGGTAGATAAGCACATGAATTCTTTTTGCAGCTTAAAACAAAGTGTCACCATCTGTTTTCGAGATAATTCAAGGATGTTAAATGATGCTATATGCATCAACAAAATCCCAGTTTGAAATTTTGATGAATGTTCATGTTGTATTAATTGCATCATTTGGGTTCTACTTTTCAATGTTTTTGTATTAGCTGATTTAATAAACAGGTTTTGGGGAGACTTTATTCCTCTCTGTGGTGGATATTGTCTGCTAATTAGAATGCTTCATCGTCTCTTTCGACCTTTTTTTTTTAAACAGAACTTGTCCATTTCTTCTCATCTCCAAGATCTTGGATTTTTCCATTACATCTTTTCTTGTGGAAGTCCTTGGCTGGCTTTCATGCAAGATGCTACTTCAACTTATGTTTAGGACTTAGTTATCTCACTTTTTTCTTTTTTGACACATCAGATAAATTCCTTGAATACTGGCTACAAAGTAGTAATTTATAGCACTATATCATTAAAATTAAGGTTGGATGCATGTATTTATTCATGTCTCCATATTTATTTTTCTAATTGATCTCCTCTATCTGAATTTCTTTTGGTAAAAATCTTGCTTGTTTTCTTGAAGTTTATGTTGTCTTGCTCTCTGGGCTTGTTCACTGACAACTTTTAACAGAGATTTCTAATTCTTGTAGGATAAAGGGATTGTTTTTGCACTGTCACAAACTGCATATGGAGCTTGTTCGTTGTTAGGATATTGGAGTTACTTTGTTCTTTTCCGTGCATTTAGAAGTTCTAATCTTTTCCCTTTCAGGTATGCTTTCTTTTGTGTGAACAAAGTTTCTTTCTTAGTACGCTTTGTTTTTCATCCCTGCCCCTTTACTCTAAAAGAAAACAAAGGAAGGAAAAATTGCTTGAGCTGATAGTGTGATGCAAACCTGTTTGATTTTTATATTTTTTTTTACACTGTTGAGCTTGATAGCGTCTTCAATTTGCTCATATTAATTCGTTATCCATTTATGGCAAGTTTCTTCAGCAACTGTGTGATATTCACAATTATTTTGTTAGCATGTTTGTTAACACTGTACCTTTTTCACAGACTAGGAACTATAATGGATTATGATAAGCCGCTCTCTAGCATGTGTGTTCTGTTCACTCTTCAATCCTTTCGAAAGCTAATCCTTCAAGAAGGGGAAAAAATTGTTCTTGTATGGTTGGATACCCCATACAACCAAGCTGTATATGGACTTGTTGACAAGTTAGGTATGTGGTTGGATCAGATATTATGTGCCTCATTGAGTTAGAGCAACAATTTTGTTTAATCAAATTGAGTGTTTATATAAACCCAAATGGTAGTGATTCGAAACTTTTGTTGCCTTAATGTAGAGAATTTGATTAATATAGTATGATTCTCTGGAGCTTGTTATAAATGTTAAATTTTCATATCCAGGGAGCTTAGTTGTCAGATTGGTGTTTCTTCCATTCGAGGAAAGTTCATATGCTACATTTGCCAGGTGTGCATCAGGTTTATTTCTCTCCTCGTTTGTTTTGTTAAGGTTGTTCTGATTTTGAAAAATTTGCTTATGTTGTCATGATGGTGCAAGTCTCTTCATGTGTTGTTCTGCATTTTCTTGCTTTGTGGTTTCATCATTTTTGTGATCTATTTGAATGCAGTCTATTCTGTTAGCTAGCCACTGTTTCATTTTTTGTTAAGAAGCGTAGCAAGAAACTTTGTTGTGTCAGATAGTTAGAGGGAAGAAAGGGCAGGATTTGGAAAAAGAATTGTTTCCATCTTCTGTATTTGAGTGGTCCAGAGTAAATAAAGTTGGTTTTTTTGCTGCTTGTCTCCACTGACTGTGGTGGCCAGGCATGAGTTGAAACTCGGTAATTCATAACATGTTCTTGTCAGTGCTTATGTCTGGTCCCGTGTCATTATGCTTATGGTTAACACTACTATTTCTAGCTTATCTTGTGAGGCCAAGCATTTGCCCTAGAATAGCATTGCAATTATCTCCTTTACTCGCCAGAATGGATAAGAGTTTGTAGATTCTTTTCTTTTCTGTTAGACTGAAAGACTTACTGTTTGAATACATGCATCATATGCATTTCAACATCAATTTGGAGTCACAATATCTCTGTTTCCATCATAAGCAGCTAAATGCTTCTCCTTCTCATGACAGGACAAGATCCAAACAAAAGCAGGAAACTGGCAAGCTGCCTAACAGAGGCCTTGAAGCTTGTTTTGTTAATTGGTAAATTCCTACATTCCTGCACTTAGTTCTCGCCTTTATATTCATTTAGTCAAATAGTTTTCAAATTTCTGTTTACCCTGTTTATGTTATGAAAATTGTCATGAAAAACTTTTTCAAATTTATAGTACTGCAGAAAAATCAGCACATTCTCTGTCCCAAGTTTGTGAGCTTGGTGGTGATAAATGATCAATTCCATCCATTTTCATGAGTCCTTTTCTCTCATCTTCCATTCCAGGTCTTGTATTTATGGCATTTGGCCCAAGTTACTCCTACTCACTCATCAGACTGTTGTATGGCCGTAAATGGAGTGATGGAGAGGCATCGACAGCCCTCCAGTATTATTGCCTCTTTGTCATTCTCTTGGCTATGAATGGTTAGTAACAACCTTTTCCATTATCACTCCCATAAACATTATTATTTTTCACTCAACTACTAACAAACTGCACTTTATGAATCCTTCTATCATTCTTTCTCATTTCTGCTCCTGTTGATTCCTGTTATGTTTTGTAAAAACAAGTACAGAGCCAATGTATATCGTGGCATAATCAGGTCGCTAGTATTTTATTATCAAATACATGCAGAAATTTGCTTGATCAACTTTTAAATTGAGAGGTTATTGTTAGAAAAGTAAAGAGGTAACTGGGTTATTATATTACTTCTAGATCAGTAGAGGCTATTGGTATCATAAATTCTATGCATTTGGACAGTAGTGCAAGATTTAGAAATGCACACATTATTTGCTTGTAAGTCTATGACATTTCAACATGAAACTTGGTTACCAAAGTCAATGCATCTCTCGCAGCTTTGCAAAGATATACTGTTATGAAAATATTTATCTTTGTTTGACTTTGCATCAGGAACTTCTGAAGCATTTCTACATGCTGTTGCAACAGAGAGCCAACTCAAGCGCTCAAATGATTCGTTGCTTGTGTTCTCATTGATATATGTAGTGATGAATTTCCTACTGATAAAGTCAGCTGGAGCCATTGGCTTGATTCTGGCAAATTCCTTAAGTATCCTTTTCGTGTTGTGGTTTTTTTTTTTAGAAGCCATTTTTCACTGTGCACCCATGCCCACCATGTACATGTTATACACATTGTACATGGTCATGAGACTGAATTTTGGTGAGTTTGACACAAAATATTTGAAGCCATTGATTGGCAATGTTTCACTTCTTGTCATTTTATGATCATATTTCTTGTGTCAGAATTAAATTTATTTGGAAATATGCATTAGTTTGATGGAAGTCACAGTTTCTTTTCTGAATTTAAACTTCTAAATATAGTTCTAACACGGAAAGAAAAAAGAGCAGAACTTTTTTGTCGGATGTTCCATTGCTTTCGTAGTTACCAAAGGTGAAGGACTTGTCAATTTGCTATGTTCCATTCATACTGGATTGCTCAACAGTCTGGTTTTTTCGTGTTCTAGAAGTTCAGCCATGGGAATTTAGATCTAGGCATAACTGTACTTTGTCTAGGGTGTCCATGTACAAGCAGCATAGTTCTGACCTAAGAGCACTTGGTAAGTTAGGCTATCATAAACTGGATACCTAAGATTTTGCAGTTGGAAGAGTGAACTTCAAGTCAGAGGGTTAAGTAATTTTGAAAAGCTCCTAAGATACTGTTTCTACCTATATTGTCTTCTGAAAGTGTCCCGGATGCCAATTTCAATCTATATTGTTTGGCTGTTTGGTAATTGGCTTTAAAAGACTTTCCCATGATGACATCTATCTCGGTAGTAACTATTCTAGGTTCTTCCTTGATTCCTAAATTCAACAAAGTACCAGTGACATATGCTTTATTAAATTGAAATCCTTGGGTCATTGGTTTCTTGACTATTCTGAAGATATGATTTTGAGGATTATATACTCTGCAGTATTCATCAAACGCTACTTCCAGGTATGGCTTTAATGCTGTAAGTCTTCCATGTTTGGGTATTTATATCAACCTTATACTGGATATGTGTTTTTCTCTCTGCAGAATTCTTCTGCATTTTCTTTTACTGGCTGCTTACCTTCAGGTTGGACAGTTCTGTTGTTTTCTGGGGCAATTACTCTCATATCTGAGAAATTATTTCTGGACCATGAAAATTTCTGGCCGACCTTTTTAATCCACTTCTCCATTGGCTTAACTTGCTTCTGCATGTCATCTTTTATCATGTAAGTATCTTCTTGTCTCTTATTTCTTTCGATTTATGCTATCCCCATGTGAACTGAGTTTTGAGGTGCGAATATAAGTGATTGTTTAATTTTTCTTATGCTCCTTTTAATTTTTTCTTTTATGTGAAAAGTTTCCAGGAATTTTGATTTTCATTTTATCATTAACAGTTACCGACGCGAGAGGCCTTTTATCAATAAAATTGTTCGTTTTCGTGACCACATGGACTGAAGAATGGATAACTGTCCTAACATCTAGTGAGTGTAAGATTTTAGTTTTCAGATTATTTAATCAATTGCTATTTACTCTGTTGTTATTTGGGTATAAAATTAACGAAGAAGGGCCTTTGAATGCAGCACAAAAAACACAAGGGCGAGTAAGTTAATTATTGATTCAGAGGGCAAGAGGATGAATTACACTGTTGGAAGTCCATTTCATATTACGGTAGGATTATTAGTAGCAAGGTAACTGACAAGCAAAGTTATAATGTTTGTTACTTACGAGCTGGCTTCATTACTAACAACAATCCTCCTCCCCCTCCACCCTCAGTTAAAAAATGTCATTCCTCCTCTAATTTTCAAAACATTGTTTTCAACATCATCATAATTGACTAACAAGAAAGTCGAAAAGCTAGAGACAATTTGAAAATTTTCTGAGGCACTACAACTTTTGAAGGGTTGCCATTTTCTGTAGATTTAATTTTGGATCTCTTTTCTTTTGTCTTTGATGAGATTGAGAAAGCATACGAGGTTTGTGGGTACGGAATTTGCGCTCAGGACCCTTATTCTGGCTTTTGCTTGAATTTTATTTTCTCAGAGTAAATTAGTTTTGAAAAGCGAATTAATTAGTCTTGTTTTTAAAAACTAATTATTTATTCTTTATATCTTTATTTTTTCTGTTAACTTAATCTTTTTTGTTTTTTGTTTTTTTTCAATTTGCTTTGATTTTTTTTTTAAAAAAAAATAGAAAAAAATAAGTAATAAATATGGAAGGATTGATGAGAAAAAATGATATTTTTTTGAAATAAAGTAATGTTAAATTAAGCACAATCAATACTGGTTAAAGGATTAAATAATTAATTTTTAAAATAAGATGGGCTAGTTAATTTATTTCTCAAAAATAGATGGACTAACTTGTAATTTACTCTTAATTCTCTCTTGCTTCCCACGCGTCAAAGTCATATAGGTCTCAAGTGGCAGCAGCATAATGCAGCGTCTCCGATATGACACTATGAATGCCACTGACATACGCAAGTTTATTCTTCTTCTCGCCATTCCTTAATGATTCTTGGTAGGCTTTATAGCTGCATTTTTTTGAACATAAGTCAAAGCCAAACTACTGAAAAGGTTTCTCCTTTTACAAGAATTACTTGATACCCAGCAAAGAACTAATTAAGGAACATTAACTCCTCAATTTGGGTAAGAATTGTGAAGATCATTTTCCTTTCTCTTCTTTTTTCATCAGAGTTTTTATGAACATTATTTTCAAAATAGCAACACAGTGCATTGTTTAGCTTACCTAATTATGTTCTGCTATAGAAAAACCACTCGGCTGATGTCTACGTATTCCATTGAGAAGTTTATTGTGTTATTTTCGTGTGCTAATAACATTTTTCTATGAAATTTGTGAAAATATCATATCTTAGTAGAAAAGGGTGGTAAACGTTTAAACAGCCATAATAACCCATTATAATGGTTTTTGTCAACGATCCCTTTGCTCTATACAAAAGTAACTTTCTTCATCATAAATGTCCCATGTTATTAGGTGCAACAATTTAAATGTAACATAGAATATGATACTTCACAATCTCTTAAAAAAAAAGAAGAAAAATCTCCGATAGGTGAGAAATTGGGCAAATGAAAAACCAATTTCATGAAAAGCAAAAAATAAAGTGATGAAAGAGAGGGCCACAAGAGCAATTTGATGATTCATAGGACACCCACGGGTGTGTTGGGTTGTCCTCCAGTGTCACTCCAAGAGCAGTAGTTAGTAATTATAAGCTTTGAAAGCTTGAGAAAGAAAAGTAGATAAAGAGGGAAAAATGAAACTCATGATGATTAAGATGGAGACTTGGTTTAGAGTTTAGACAAGGATCCAACAAACCCATGAACATAAAGTTGCTTCTATCTTCTAAAACAAAATGATGGCCGTTTGAGTTTTGCTTAGGAGGTTGGATTCCTGGTGGATTACATAACAAAGTCTTTGCTTCAGAAAGCAGGAATGAAAGTGAGGGAATGCCACTTGCCCCGGCACCTGTTAAGGAGTGGAAAATACACGTTATAATAACTACAAACATTTCAATATCGAAAAACAGCAAGGAGGAAAACAAAAAATAAAAAATTGATGCCCTTTTTGTCTCTTGCATCCCTCTAATAAAAAAAAGCTCCACCTCCGGCCAGAATCAATTTGGCCAACAAAGGCCTTTTGGTTTCATCCATTCGCCCATCATGCAATAACCTAAACTGAGTAAAATAGTAGAATTACTTCAAGCTTGTGATTTTCAAATAAACAAACCTTGCAAGGCCTATGAATTCCAAAGACTTGAGAGCTAAAGTTGATCATAAAAGAAACCTTCCTCTGGGACCTTCTATTCTCTTTTGTGTTTTGCCATGGATATTGATGAGCCTGTCAAGAGACACACTTGTTTAAAGTAAGCCTTCTCCATATACATGTTGTCCTTCACGAATCCCAGAGCTCTAATTAAGCACAAAAGAACCAAAAATTCACATGGTTTTGTTAGATTGTATGTCTTGTCTCTTACCATTCAAAGAAAAAAGAAAAAAAAAAAAAAAAACTCTAGCAGCGAACCTAATTTGACAATTTACGTAGTCAAACAGATTTTTCTTTCACCAAACAGTTTATAAGAAGCGCTGATTTTAAAATTAGTTTCAGGTTTCAACCCATCATTGAATTAAGAAATATTTTTTATATCAGAAGGTATCATTTTGATCAGTTCCTAATAGTCATTACTCATTAATTTGTTTGCCTAAATTATCGTAAGGAAACAGAAAGGAGAATGACACACCTTCCCAATTAATTAATTGGTCTACCTTTCCTTTTTTTCCCATATATATATATATATATATATATATATATTACTTTAGAAAGTCTAAATCATTTGGTTGTCTATTCTCATTTCATCGCATAATACTCTCAAAATAAGTGGCGGTGCCCTCTCAAATCTTGATGTTAAAGCATCTTTATTTTTCTCTTTAAACAAACACCAAATGATAGAACATGACATGTAATGATGACTTGGGACCTTTTTCCGTAATATTTATTTTGTTTTGTATCTTCCTAAATCCTCTTGATTCAGCCATGAAGATCATCAACAATTAAAGGTTTCGATTGCAATAGTTCCTTCATCACATGGATCATCTCTTAATTTAACCCCTTTACCTTTCTAATTCACCCCAAAAGCTTCGTTGTTTTTTTTTTCCATCATAAACAACAAAATCGTCGGTTCATTAGGCGCCAATATAAACTTTTGTTTTTGTTGCTAATGCACGTTTGTACATGGGTATGGCATCAAATTAAGATCAGCGTCATTAAAACCATTACTTACCAGTTTGTACACAGAAATTTTAAGTAAGTGTTTATGTTCTTCTCCAACGCTACACAAGTTATAATGTATAGTTGCATGTGCTAAAACATATGTGTTTTTTTAACATAATAAATTAAAGTGGCCTAATTAATGATGTGATTGGAGAATGTTTCTCCTTTGAAGAATACATACATACATACATATATATCAGTCTTGTTAGGATAATACTGAGTTTAGTTGAGTCTACGGTTAAATTAGGAAAGGTCTCTCACATGCCCATTTCACTCACCTTCAAACCCTCATAATTTGGTTCTCCACTTGGAGATTAATTAGATAAGTTATAACGTTGAACAGAAAAAAGGAGGATTATGGTCATGAGAGAAGACTATTCATGAGTCATGACTCATGAAAGAGGGAGAGCTAGAGACACGGAGTGTGTCTTTGAAGTCAAACACTAAGGGGTGGCAATGCACAGTTTTTTTCTTCTTTTGAAAAATAGGGCATGGGTCACACTTATGGACCCAATTTTCATCCCTCCCTTTTGTCTTGCCAATCTTATTCTCGAGTATGTTCAATTCTTTCATCATTCTCTTGTGGAACCCTCCATCTCCTTTCTTTACCTGTCTACTACATCATCTTGGATCTCTATATGTAAGTCCATATATTTTACTACTCATTTTGCTTTTGTTTTAGAACTTGTCATGGTTATAAATTTTGTTTGCTAAATACGTAGACGCACATCAGCAATTCAACATGCAAGAACAGCCTGCTCAATGTATATACAACCGTCAGTATTAATCCAAAAGGTTTCGTTCGCTTGGTTCTAGGGTTTAATAGTTCGCAGCCTCAGAAATATTTAACGAAAAGCTTGCTGGATATATATTGTCAGATTGACAAGAGCAAACTTACACTATGACATAATTAATGTGTTGTTACTAGCACACAAAAGAAACATAATTAAATAATAATAATAATTAACATAATAAATAAATTAATTTATTATAAATTAAAATAAATAAAAAATTAAAATTTTTTTTATCTTGATCACTAGAAAAATTAGGGATTAAAATCACATTATTATATTTTGTGATATAAAAATGATTAAACTATCAAAATAATTTTATCATAATCTTTGGTGACCTGTCTCGAGGCACAACCAAGTTTTTTTTTTTTTTTTTTTTTGAGACGATGCGCGCCATCCGTAGAATTTATCCGAAACAAAAATATATTACACGCAATCTCAAGGATACAACAAGCTTAGACACTTTGTCGTATCTTAACAAATTTATTCTATTTGTAAGATTTGAAACTCTAAATAAAATAGCACTACTCTTATCCGAATATATATAATATGATTTTTAAGTGGGAAACTAGAGAAGATAAAAAACGAGATATTTGTATTATTATTTTTTTGTTGCTAAAGAGAGCAAATACCTTTTTCTCTTGTTATCTTTATCC